CGATGGAGAGCAGCGTTCTGGGTCATGAGGGCGTTCATACGCTCCTCCATGCGCGCCAGATACGCGTTGAGGTCTGCAGGGGGTGCAGCAGGCTCAGCCATCGGATCGACGAGGGAAAGAGAGGCGAAAGAAGAAGAAAGGCCGGGAAGCCAAGAGGGAGCGTTCAAAATGATGTTAGAGTCCGAAGGGGACTCAACGGCAAAAGAAGAAGTGAGCTCGAAGTGAGCTCAGGGAAGGCAAGGGTAAAGTCCGAAGTGGACTCGGAGAGGGAGCGAGGGAAGCAAAGATCCGTTCAAGATAAGACTAGTCTCGAAATGAGACGTGAGGAACACTCAGAGAATAAAGTAGAAGGCACTTTATTTAGTCCTATTTTGAACGCTGAGGTTCGACTACACATCGCGGGGGTCAGGCTATTTATAGACAAGTCCGGACTTGGCAGCGAAGGGCGGCCAAGGGAGGGAAAAGTGGGCGATCGAGCAGGGCGAAGGGGGCGATGCACGAACGAGGGCCGAGAAGGACCACCGAGACAGGCAGAGAACCAAAGCGAGGGAGGCGCAAGCAAAAGCGAAGCACCTGGCAGGAGAAACGTGCAAAGGCGAAGCAATGTGACTCAACGTCCAAGAAGCGGATTGGTCAAGTATAAGGTTGGGGCAAATGCATGCGAGATGAACAAGAGATCGGGGCGGTCAGGCAGGTCATGAGTCACCGGTGGTGGGACACATGACCGGCAGCCGAATTGCAACCAATCGCAGCAAGGCGCGTGCACAAACAAACCGGCGCGTGCGAAGAAGACAAAGGAAGCGGAGCAGCGCGGGGAAACGGAAGTGCGGAAGGAGCGGAAATGGCAGGCAAAAGGCGGAAAATTGGAGGGGAACTGCAAAGCTACACACAAACAAACAGAAAGGCAAAAGAACAGCCAAGTGTGCAGTCAAAGTGGAGAACAAGCAGAAGCTATCCCTAACAGCCATGGAGCGACGCTCCCTCCACAAGCTGCGCCGCCAGCCCTCTGTCGGGAGACATAGGTCGGCATTACAACAACGAAGAGCGACTGCACAGCCAATGGAGGCACGAGCATCCATGAGCACATCGCATTTGGCTGATTCAAACAAGGAACCACTGACTCTGCAACAACGCATACAGAGGCAACGGCATCGGCTCCGCCCAATCAGCGGACAGACAAGCACAAGGGCCGCGCTAATGCAGTCCGTTCCTTCATTCTCCCCCTTTCCAACCGAGCCTGGCAAGCAACAGATACAAAAGGATGGAATCTACCCGACACCGCGGATTCAAGCGGCGAGTTTTTTGCCTCTGACCAACCGGACGACGGCCAGATGGACGATGACTTTGAAGCGGATAGCAACGTGGGCAGCGGCGATTTCGACGACGATGCGGGCAGCGACGAGTGGTTAGATGACGACGAGAGCGATGAACCACTCGATGATTACTCCGTCGACGAGACACCCGCAGCGGACAATGTCCATCCGACCACAACAAGCCAAATTCCCCCACCGAGCCGCAGGTCGGGAACCTTGCTCCTTCTCGGTGGCGCAACACTCTTCATTGTCACTGCGCTGGCCGACATATCCAAACGTCTTGCTCAGTTGGCGACGGGGGCATCCGGACAATCGGGGAGCAGTGTCGGGATTCAGGGTGGCAAGGTCGCCATCATAACATTGTTGCTGCTTGCGTGGATCGCAGCGGTGCTGTTCCACAGCCTGGCGCTCTAGCCAACAGCCCTTCCCACGACGGGCAGGAGGTGCAAAGTCCAGCGCGCTGGCGAAAGGCCTTGGCTCACTTGCCATAGGTCCCCGTCGACCAGATCGGTGTTGTACCCAGGTAGGTGACGAGATTCCCGTCGTCCTGCATCACTAGCCGATCAGAGGGCTGACCGTTCGTGCCAGAGGCCCAGAGTGGCTTTCCAGTTCCGTCGTATACCACAAAGTTGTAATCTGGCTGGTAGTTGGCAAAGAAAGGTGGGCTTCCCTTTCCGTTCGTTCCGGATGACCAGATCGCTTGCCCGGATGTGTTATTGTATAAAACCAGGTTTCCGTCGGCCTGCATAACCAACGAGTGACTACCGGTTGGAGACAGCATTGCCGTGCACTGGGGTAAGATCGTGCCTGGCTTCAGCGCCGAACCATCGGCATTTCCATACGCTCGGATCATAGGTACGTTGGCCGAAGTGCACTGAGCCAATGCCGCACTTGGGGCGATCTGAGGGCCGTACCAGAGATGCCCGAGCTGTGAGTTGTTCAGGCTCTGGAGCCATCCCACACTCGCAATCGAATCTTTGCTGCCCAAAGCAGCATAGATCGCCGAAATGACGGCGTTGCGGTTTCCGTCGCTCCATGTACTAACGTCGCTCGGTGTTGCCCCAGGCGTACCAACAACACCACACGCCATGGAGAGTATGGCCCAGAGGAGTGAGTTGCTGAAGGACTGTACGTCGGTATTGCTCAAACCGCTGTATTTGACGATGAGTGGGAGTGCTGTGAGTCGGTCCGCGGATGACCACGTCGACGGATCTTTCTGGACCAACGCAGCGACCACGGTGTTGTTGCTCTTCATCAATGCACACCAGGATGTTACCTGGGTGGCAGCCGGCACAGAGGTAGGTGCTGGAGCAGGTGTCGATGCTGGGGGCGAAATGGAAAGTGCCTGGGCAACCTGTGTGAATGCGCTTACTGGAGCCAGGGGTGTCGCCGCGGCAGTGCCAAACTGGAAGCTCTGCCCAGAGAGACCCGAAACACAGTCTGACAAGTCCACCTGCGTACCGTTGTTTCTGGAGTTCCCCGCCAGATCGAGACACTTGTTCTGGTTCACGCCCCAGGTATAGTTGCCTTGTCCGTTTGCGCCAGCGACCCATGTCTGCGACTGGTCTGTGATATCGCATGGCTTTATGACGATTGGGTCGCCGTTGGCAGCGCTGGCTCCACTCTTTGGTCCAAGGCACATCATGCTGTTCTGGTCGATGATACGCTTGTTCATGGCATCGTAGCCCATCAGAGCACCTGCCTGTGAACTGAAGTCCCAATACACGACAGGTGTTCCTGCAGCGGCACTACCACCGACAACGGCTAATCCTCTCGATGTATTGTCACTCGTTCGCATTATGGTATATGCATTTGCTCCAAACACGGGCTGGACAACAGGCTGGACGACCACTACAGGAGCCGGAGCCGGAACAGGAGCCGGAGCAGGAGTTGGAGCGGGTGCAGGAGTAGGTGTTGGTGCTGGTGTTGGTGCTGGTGCTGGTGCTGGTGCTGGTGCTGGTGCTGGTGCTGGTGCTGGAGTCGATACAGAGGTCATCGACAGAGGTGGTGGTGCTGTGAGAGATGTCGTCACTGCTGGACTCTGCGTTGGCGAGCCGGTCGTCGCTGCCGTCGTTGCCGTCGTTGTTGGCGGACTTTGTGCTGGCGGGCTGGTCGTTGCTGGACTTGGCGTTGACGGGCTGCTCGTTGCGCTCGCTGGCGACAACGACGCTGGACTGGCGCTCGATGCCGCTGCTGTTGGTGTGGTTGACGTCTGCTTCATGTACAAATACAGACCCACACCTGTACCCACAGAGAGAGACAGCATCGAAACAATGATCACAATCAAGACAATCGTGGTGGACATGGCTTTGTGGATACGGCAGAAAAAAACGATGTATTGATCTGTTCCTACTCGCAGAGCTGCTCGATCTGAGCACAGAGGTCGGAGCGCTGGGCATGAAGCAATTCCAGCTGCCCGTCGATGCACTGGACCTGCTGGCGAAGATGGGCGAGGGCTGTGCGCGTGCGCTTGGCTGGTCCAGCGAGGCGTGTGCCGGGGGTCGCCATTTGGTGTCTGGGCCGCTGTCCTGGTCTACGTCCGGACAAAACCTTTTCTTCGTTGCCATGGCTCATGTCATGCGGGAGGCTGCTCATGAATCGGACGACGCTTTGCTCGAGGGCCGGGACAGCGGCACCAAACACGACGAGGTGAATGGCAAAGAGCGTCCGAGCTTCCTCCAGCGAGACAAAGAGGTCACCGACTTGGACGCGCGGCGGACGCACCAAGCCTCGGCGCAGCCAGATGTCGCCACCGCTTTCGAGGAGTCGCTTGACCGCCGGGGCGAGGGCTTCTTCTCGGGCCTTGCGAACGCACACTCGTATCATCGCGTTGATCTTGCGTCGTGTGTCTTCACCAGGGACGAGGGCTGACACGGAGCGGTGCTTGCGGCCTTGAAGCATCGTCAGCCCAAGGCGAGGGCGATCGACCAGGTGGGTGAAGTTCAGGAGGAGCGTGCCATCGGCGTCGACAATCGTGCTGGGGCGAGCGTCGCGGGTCATCGTTCGAGAGGTGAGATGCAGACCGATCGGCATCGACGACTTCGCTCGCCTTTTGAACATCGGAGTCTGGCGGAGATAGAGTGGCCATGAGCGACATCCACGCAGCTGATGCCTCCCACCGCTCTCCATTCCCGAGGAGGATCCTGTCATGGGAATGCCCCCGTCTTTCGCCTTGCAAAGTTCCGACTCCGATGATGGCAGCGCCATACAAGAAGGACTGGGTGAAATCCGTTTGTCGCCATCTCTACCACCGCCGCCATGGAGCCAAGCACCGCCGACGTCCTCAGATCCATCAGTTTCAGCGAGATCTTCTCAGACTCTGGAGAGAGCGATCGTCCAGAGCCTCCTGCTGCCATCATGAAGCCATCCCCGTTGGCCAAGCGCAAGCCAGGTCGCCCCTGCAAGCAGCCCCCCGTCCGTCAACGCCCCTCCTACGATCGAGCCGCCAAGGCCGGTGTCAAGTATCCGACCAGGAACCTGATCAAGCACTGGGGACGTTCACGCCGTCGCGCCCGCGGGACCAGCAAGCCCGAGTCGGACGGAGTCGCCCATTGAACCCTATGTCATGCAAAGGATCCTGTCCGAGCCAATAAAGCACACACTGTCCATCTCCTCACACGTTTCGCATAGAGCATGGGGTATAAGAGACGCCGTTGTGAGGTGGGTGTGTTCGAGGCTACCTGCATCATGTCCTCCTCCAGTACCAAGCGCATCACCCGCTCGATGAGCACCCGCGCTGCCAAGCGCAGATGCATACACAAAGAGCTCGCCAATGCCGGGGTCGAGGCCACACCTTTTGCCGTCCAAACCATCTTCCAGATCCCAGAGCTGCTCGACAAGCTCCCTCCTTCAAGCCTCGTGAAGCTCCGAGCCACCTCCAGTGACATGCGATCCGTCCTCTCGACAAAGTCGGTCGGCATCCGCATATGGGCCGCATGGTTCAACGCCAAGTACGACACCGAGCTCCTCCCGAACGATTGCGCTGCGCTGACCCAGTACTTCCCCACTGAATGGCGTCCCTACACCCTCAAATGGATCAAGTCGATCCCGAACTCTGTGGTTTCGGCAGAGTTTGTCCGACTCGTCAGCTGCAGGGGAATGCACGATGACCAATGGGTTTCGAAATGCCAAACTTGCGTTGAAGCCAAGCACGTCCCAACGGCCATGTGGATATTGATCCACCGCCGGCTGAACGTGTCGCTGCAGTCCCAAAGTCTCACCATCCTGCTCGACGAATGCAAGCGAACCGACTCCGAGTCGCTCATAAAGTTCATCATCGACAATGGGACGAGACTGATGCAGTCCAGATATCCCAAAGTCCGCGTCCAGTTCTGTGAGTGGCTCAAGACCATGGAGTCTACTCATGTAGATGCCCGGTACAAGCTCTACGAATGCTACCGCTATGGCTATGGCACTGGGGTCGATATAACCAGAGCGCTGAATCTGCTCGCAGAATGCGCAATGCAACGCCACACCCTCAGCATTGGAAGACTCTTTGACATCTTGAACTCTGGATCGATTGAAAATGTCCCAGGTGCTGTCTCTGTTGTGAACTGGGTACTTGTCAAGACTGGACAACGGGGCAAGCAGGGAAGCGCGCAAGAGTCCTAATGCAAGACTCGAACGTAGGGAGAGGAGCGGGGACTGGACTGGGACACAGAGTGTCAAGTGTGAAGCCAAAGTTTTATTCTAGATCCAAGGCTTAGGATACTAAAAATACAAAGTCATTTCAAGGACAAGGCAAGATAACTAGGCAAGATACAAGGCAAGGAAACTCAGTTCATGACACTATCTCCCCCTTAAAGGCCAGATATAATGGCTCGATAGGACTGGAACATGAACGGCACCCCAGCTCCGTCTTTTCCGAAATTCAGTGTCAGCATCGGTTTCGAACCGGCAACCTCCAGACTGGTATGCAGACACCTTAAACGAACTCGGCGAACTGGGGCACTGGCAGGGGACTCGGAACGGCGGATGAAACCCTTGGAGAGGTTCTCTTGGATGTAGGTGTGGAGGGCGTCCATCTCCGGCTTGGAGAGGTTGTAGACGGGCCCAAACGACGGAGACGCACCTTCGACCAACGGGATCGTGTGGTCGTAAGGGCGGTGCTGGGGGAGCTTGTCGGCCTCGGACTTGGAAAACACCTTGGCAAAGGACGAGTACTTGGAGGGGACAGAGGGCTCGGCCTTGGGCTTGGCTCCAGCGTCGACGGAGCAGAGGGACAGGACTCGGGCAGCATCCAAGAGGAACACTTCCAGGCCTTCCTTCTGGACGGCGTGCTGGAAGGGGATGCTGCCGATCAGGCTGACGCTGGGCAGGGACTGGGTCTTGGTCTTGGTCTTTGGGACGGCAGGAGGCAAGGCAGGACTGGGCTTGGGCACGGTAGGAGGCAAGGCAGGGAGGATCTCGGGCTCGGCTGGGGACTCGGCTGGGGACTTGGCAGGAACAATCTTGGACTCGGGCAGGGACACGGCAGGCTCGGCGGGGACCTCAGCAGGGGACTCGGCAGGGCTGGACCTAGAGGACTGTGGCTCGGGAGAGAACGGGGAGGCCAAACTGTGGATAGAGGTGCAAGGCAAGAAAATAGAGTCATGGTGCCAGTCAAAGTAGGGTTTGTGTTTCTTGATCCAATCCATACCCAAGATGATCGGGTATGAAGCCAAGGGAATCAGCGCGAACGAGATTTGTTCATAGTGGCTGATGCCTGTGATCATAGAAACACAAACTCCAAGACTAGACTCCATCGAAGAACCATCGGCAAGAGTGATGACGAAAGAAGTTTCAAAGGTGGGGAGAGCGTGGGTTGCGGCGAATCCAGTGTCCATAAACGAAGTAACCGCGCCGGTATCGATCATGGCGGTTGCCCGTATGGACTCTGGACCGCACAGCAGAGTCACAGCGAGGGAGGGCTGACGTTGGATGTCAGGCTCGGGAGGCGAAGACGAAGAAGCAAGAGCGGTGGAAACGGTGGCAATGGTGACGGGGGCAAGATGGCAAAAGGCAGAAGAGTGATTTACCGTGGAGACATTTACAGGAGGAAGATTTATGACATGATTGACGCCTAGGAAAGCTCCTCCGACCTTTTCTAGGCAGAGAAGTTTTCCTGGTCGTCAAGTTTATTCACATCAACGACAGCCAAAGAAGCATCGATGGCAGCCAAGCGGGAGGATGCCTTATTGGGGCAGCGAGGGGCAATGTGCCCTTCCTGCTTGCAATAAAAGCAACGATTAGCAGCACGGAGGGCGGCCTTGTCCTCGGCGGTCAGCCTGCGAGCGGAAGCCTGGCTGAGGTCCATGGGCTGGGGAACGTTGAAGGCTTGAGCGGGGCGAGGAGGAGGAGCAGGAGCGAAGGGACGAGGAGCCGGACGGAAAGGGAGAGGAGCCGGACGAGCAGGAGCAGGAGCAGGAGCGGAGCGGTGGTTGGGACGGCGGGAGCGTTGGTCCTCCTGGCGGTTGTCGATGGCGATCGCCGCTTGCATGAGATCTTCGAGGTTGTCGAAGGAGCGGCGGGAGAGTTCATCTTGAACCGAGGGCTTGAGTCCACTCTCGAAGTGGAACATGAGAGGGTCTTGGGACCAAGTGACGAGGTGGACGGCTTGGCGGCGGTACTCGGCGGCATAGGCGGCGGCGGAGGTGACTTGGTAAAGCCTGACCATCTCGCGAGCAGCGGCGATGGTGGGCTGGACCTGGCCAAAGGCAGCACGGAGCCACTCGGAGAAACCGGCAAAGTCACGGATGGCAGGGGGAGAGCACTCGGGGTCTCTCTCCAACTGATCGATGTACGGCTGCATGTAGTCTGCAGCAGTACCATCGAGATAGGATAAGGCGTAAAACACCTTATCCCTTTCAGTCTGGAAGAGGGGAGGGTTGGACACGAAGGCCAGTCTGCAATGCGAGAGGAAGGCATTGCAGCGGCTCGGGTCCTTACCAGAGAAGCGGTCGGGAGGACCTATCTGCCTGGTGGCAGAGTTGCGACCAGCAGAGTGATCCTCGGGGTCTTGGGCAGGATCATCGACGTCGTCAGGTACGCCGAAGTAGGGGCGACCTGCGCGACGGATCGGAGCGGGAGCAGGAACTGGAGGAGGTAGCTGGGCCTGGTAGCTGCGGAGGGCCTCCTGGACACTGGCGGCGACAACTTGGCGGACATCCTCTTCACGGCGAGCCAGGACCTGGTCCATACGATCGGTGATGCGGTTGAGCGCATCATCCTGATCGTGGAGGAACTTGGAAAAGTCCTGGAGAGAACGGGCGTTCTCGGCGGACTGGATAATGACCGCACGGATGGCCTGGAGCTCGGGCTCGGAAAGGCCAGAAGGGGAAGCCATTGGTAAAAGAGATAGCGAAGGGAACGGGGACAAAAGCTGGGCAAGTGGGGGGTTGTTGAAGGTCTTGCCAAGTGTCAAGACTGGACAACGGGGCAAGCAGGGAAGCGCGCAAGAGTCCTAATGCAAGACTCGAACGTAGGGAGAGGAGCGGGGACTGGACTGGGACACAGAGTGTCAAGTGTGAAGCCAAAGTTTTATTCTAGATCCAAGGCTTAGGATACTAAAAATACAAAGTCATTTCAAGGACAAGGCAAGATAACTAGGCAAGATACAAGGCAAGGAAACTCAGTTCATGACAGTACTAACGATAGAACCCGAGGCAGACAGGGAATTTTTGTTGGCCAACTGCAAGAAGCTCGCACTTGGTGTTCCTCGCAATTCCACAATCACCTCCATCTACCACCTGGCTGTCATCAAAGCGTACCTCCAGGGCAGCCATATGGCGCGCGTGTTCATTCTCTCGAGACGCCAGTTCTCATTCCATGCCTGGGATCGTGCTCAAAGCTGGGGTGCCGATATCCCGCTGGATGCGATTGTCGCAGCTGGGAATGACCCCCAGGTGCGGGACGCTTTGACAGGGCTGCTCAGGACGTCTATAGAAGCTCATGGGAATGGCCGCATCATTTGGCCTGTGTACCAGCGTTACATGCAGTGCATCCAATAAAGAATGAACATGTGATTTCATCCCTCGGACATATTTGTGGGCTCTTCATGTCCGTGAGTGGGGCGTTGTGATCTTTCTCCTTCATCGTTCTCCATCCATCGCCATGCTCGTAGAGAAACCCGCCGTGAAGACCGATTCCGAGCCTGACGTCGAATCGCTCGACGAGCTCTTCGAGATGCTGATCAGCCCCAATTATAATCAAGTCGTCGGTGCCACCGATGTGCTGATCGACATTGTTCCCAGCAACCACCAGGCCTGGATCGATGCCTTTGCATTCATGTGTTCCAAGAGCGATCTGGATCCAAATGCCCGCTTCCATCTGGCCTGGATGAACTGGCTGGGTATCGGCACGGCTATCGACTACACCCGGGCCTTCAATCTCTGGATGTCGGTCAGCAGGGCACCATACGTATACCACAACCTTCGATATGCGAGCCAGGTGTTAGTCGATCTCTGCGACGTTTCCGGATACGGCAGCATCTCCTTCAAGGCAACGCCGTTCATCTGCAATCCCCCGGCACCAGGCAGCCAAACCGAGCCCATCTTCAAGCTCCTCTTCCAGTGGGCCAAGATCGCTGCTCGCCGCCATTGGCCGGGTCAGCTCCTCCTGGCTCGCTGCTACCTGGAGGGACTGGGTTGCCCTGTGCAAGCAAAGCAAGGTGCTGACATGGTCCGAATCATCGCCCTCAACGACAACGCCGAGGCACAACTCGGCCTCGCCATCCTGACTCGCGAGGGCAGAGGTACTCCCCAGTCGAACGGCGAGTGCTTCTTCTGGATAAAATCCGCCGCAGATCGCGGGTATGCCCCGGCAATGTGCTGCCTGGGCAATGTGTTTTTGGAAGGCGAGATTGTGTTGCAAGATCTCCCCAAGGCCTTTGAATGGTTCAATCTGGCATCCCACTGCTGGAATCTCGATGCACTCTATAACTTGGGAGGATGCTATATCGATGGAGTTGGCGTTGAAAAGGACTTGGTGAAAGCAGCAGAGGTGTTCATGTCGGCCGCAAAGCTCGGTCATGCAGGCTCGCAGCTCATCATCGGAGATTTCTTGGCTCACGGACATGGTGTGTCTGCCGATCCGGTGCAGGCAGTCACTTGGTTCCAACGGTCGTCGATGCAGGGCTGCCGCAAAGCAACCGAGCGACTAGCTCAATGCTATTTCCATGGTTTTGGTGTGCCAGTGGACTACCAACGCTCCCAAGCACTGATCAACTCGCTCACTCGCTCCAACTGAAAAATACATTTGCGTTTGCCTCGACTTGATCAAGTCCAAGTGCGAAATGAGGACTTGGTGCATTGGGCTGGGAGGTCGACGCGATCACCTGACCGAGGGGTCCGGCCGGACATGGTGTTTCCTCCGCCCGCCGGCGACCGTGGTGCGATCGCTGGGCTGGACTCCCTGCGCCACAACGCGCTGAACCCTTCGATGTGTGGTCAGCTGGCCAGGCTGGATGCCAAACCGCTGTCGCCAGCGAAACGCCGCCCGGATTGCCGCTGCAATCCAATCTGTCATGTCTCCCATCCCACGCCCTCGCACCCCCATAAAAGCCGCCGCTGGCTTCCCGAGGACAGCAGCATCGCCCGCCTACTCGTCCCAGCGCATTCATTCGCCTCCAGGTAAGTCCAGTCCCCAGTAGTGCCCAGCAGCAGCAACAGGCGACCACTCGGATTCGTTGTAACGCCTAGTCGTTCCCACAGCTGCTCTACCATGCCGCCTTCTGCCGATCCCGCCAAGCCCAAGGGGTGCTACATTCGCACCAGCATCAAGGCGCCCAACAATACTACCGATCTTTGGTTCCTCGAGCTCGAACTCATTCGCGGAGGTCGTTACAAATGCCGCGATCTTTTCGGCGAGTCTTTCCAAGAATATGGATTGAGAAACCCGAAAGATGTCAGCGTCTACTGTCGGGCTGCTGACAAAATCGACGAGTTCCTGTTCGAACTCAAAGCTGCAACCCTGAATGCAGACTGCAGCTACCGTGCTGACGCCATCAAACTTCTCTCCAAATTCGACCTCGAGACCCACCAACGCAGGGAAATACCACCCTACGGCAGTTTCCGCTACGTCCCGTCGCCCGACATCGCACTCTTCCAGCGGGTCTTCTACAAGCACAAAGATAAGCCCGTTCCCGCACCTAGTCATCAGAAGCTGGGATTCTACAATCTCGGTAAAGACGGCGTATATACGAAGATGGCTCGCTTCGTGCCCGATGGATTCGGCCTCGAGTGTATCCCCAAGAAGCCCAGTGATGAAAATGGCATGGTGGTCCTCCAAGGACATTTCAGCCAACTATCGCAAGTCAGGAATGATACCATCGCCAATCCCTCCTTCGCGAGCCCGGAGTTCATTCAGGTTATTAACCACGAGATCATCGAGACCAGCACCTGTATCCGCAAGCTGGCCATGCGTCCAATCGCCGATGAGAAGACGGCTTCTTCGGTCGCCCCCGGTTGTCCTCCCCCTGGCCCCGATCCTGCTCCCAGGAATCCACCTGCTCCCTCGGCTCATGCCTTCGCGCATGCCGCCCCTCATGCTCCTGTCTTTGGAGCTACCGATTCCAGTGACCCATTCTCCGTCGACTCCCTCCACTTGGACGATATCTTAGCCGCGTTCCCTACCGTTGCCGAACCCGCTAGGACGGTTCAACTCGATCAACCCACCGCTCCTACCTTCGGGGCTGCTGAAGCTCGCGATCCCGACTTCACCGACAGTGGTGCGACTCCAGTGCCTTTTGTCGTTGCCGAACCCGCCGCCCCTCCATTGGCCCAAGGCGTTCGGGTCTCAGCCAACACTGCTGCAAGTGACGGTGACGTTCACCCGTCCGCCGACTCGTGGGAATGCTACATCCCCACGAGTCCTGCCATCTTGGCTCCCGGACGTATCACCCCTGCTGCAAGTAGTCATGCTTCCCACACGCCCACTGAAGAGGGTCGACACTACATCCCAACGAGTCCTACCCTCAAGCGCCCGGCCCCAGTCGACGAGTTTGATCGCGACCAGCCTCGAAAGCATGTTCGCGATACCTATTATGGGACTGCTTCCAAGAGACCCAATGACGATGATAAGTACACCCGATGTAAGTCGAGATTGCTTCCGTGCCCGGATTATGCGCTCTATGAGTAAAGCCTCGTGATTCCCTAACACTGCCGCATCAAATGACAGTCTCTCGTAAGCTCTTGACTCGACCTGAGGATGTTAGAAGAGATACCACATTTGCCGATATCGATACGAGTATCATTCGTGAAGCTATCAATCGTCAATATCCGCATAGACAGCGTCGCAACATCGCCAACATGCTAAGTATCGGTGATGTTATCGGTTCGAACAGTGAACTGCGAACGCTTCGCAGGGAGTTCAAATGGAAGTCCCGCTGGCACGACGATATTTTACGTGCTCATTGTGAAAAAATCGTTCTTGATTTCATCATCCACCACGAATTTCGCTTTCGTGAGGAGGGTTCTGTTTCCAGGTCCATAATTCCGGGACACCTCTTCGATTCTTATGACTCACACCCCCGCTTTGATCCCATCATTGCCCCTTATGTTGCAGTTATTCTTTTCCGCTTGTTCGACTTCGAACGCTCTGACAAAAATTGTCACTATGGTGATCACTGGAACACATTTGCTACCAGGCACGGTATTGACTTGTCCATGTATTGAACGATTCATTCACTCAGTTTCATTCTTGATTCATCTCAATTTGCCCCCCCCATTCAGTACCCCAATTCAGCACTCTCGTTCAGTACCCCCAATTAGCGCCCCAAAACAGTACCCCCATTCAGTACTCCAATTCAGCGCCCCTACCCAGCGCTCTTCTTCAGTATCAAAAAATCAGTAGAAAAATCCAAAAATACACACAATCAGTATCCGTGTGAACTGCCATGCGCGGGAGCAACATGTCCGCTCTGTGTGGGGGGATCGTGAGGATGTGAGTGTCCGAGTGGTGAGGTGGGTGTATCATGTGAGCGTCGAGCGACCTGCGGGGATATAAATCAAGTCCGCTCCCCAGCCACCTTTCCATCCAGCCTTCACCCTTCGCCTTCGTCGTCTCGCCACCCCATTCAACCGTCCTCCAACGATGAACACCAGAAGTCGCCGTCTCTTGTCCGGTGCTGCGATCGATCGCCTCGACCAAGAGCCCATGAGAATGCCGCCCAAGAAGAGAAGACTCTCCAGCGATTGGATGGACGGTATGTGTTGATCTGATCGCTCGCCAGCTCGTTGGAACGCTATGTGTGTCCTAACTTATGTTCCCGTCCTCAGTCATCGACCGAGAGAGCGATCGCCTCAGTAGTGGCTCTCCATGTCGCCCCGGTCCATCGACTGCCGCTGCGGCCGAGCGTGGTGATGATATGATCGGCGGATCCTCTCCCCTCACTTCCACCTTCGGCATGAGTCCGTCCACTCCTTCGTTTTCTCCGATCACTCTCCCGTCCCCATCCCCCTTGAACTCGCCCACCAGGCAGAGTGCTATGGTGGTTGATTCGCCCCCGCCTGGTGTCTTGGTGCGTCCACCCAGACCAGTGTTCATTCGACACTATTCCCAGCTGACGATCAATCACGGCTTCAAGCACGTCAACCCGGATAGGCTTTTCCCGTACGTCGACGTTGATCGGAGCTCTGAATATTGCCCAAAACATCCTCTATTTGTCAGTCTCCGCGATATTGTTCAACGCACTCCCGCACTCACTGCCTCGATGCAGGCAAGACACCGCCGATGCGGAATGCGAGACTCAGTCATCCAGAGCATGGAAAAGCTTCTTTTCAACCAATGCAACGACTTGATCGACGACTGGTTCAAAAACTGGAAGTTCACTAAGAAGCATCGTGGGATTATCAGGGAGTATCTCCTCGTCCCCAAGCTCCGTCGTCAGCGCCGTATGATTGTCGAACAGCAATGTGAAGGTCAGGCTGGTGATCAACCCCCGCCCTATCGGTACCCCATCACCAGAATGGATTATGCCGAAGCGCTCTTGCCCTATATCACGGTCATCATCATCCAGCGCTTCTCTATCAACAACTCCATCACTCGCTGGGATGACTTCGTCAAGCGCTTCCCAGGAGTGTTCGACCAATACACCATCATATGACCATTTGCTCCTTCTCTACCCCCGTTGCTCCGGCGGGTTGCTGTTGTCGTCCCTGTGCCGCCGACCGCGGCTGACCTGTCAGCACAGCACGCGTCACGAGGTATCAATTGTGTGGTTCACTCCTGGAGGAGGGGTCTATTCAGAGCCACCTCCACCGGCGGAGATACCAAGTTCCGATCGGCGCTCATTGGGTGAGTATGGTGGACATGGGTCAGCTGATGGTCCTGGCAGATGTCCAGCTGCGGCAGGGTGTGGAGATAGCAGACTCCGCCAATCGCCGCCGGCCATGTCCGCCGGACGACGTAGGATCTGTGGGGCTATATGACGGACACCTCCTCCGCGATCGCTGTTAGAGTCCGAAGGGGACTCAACGGCAAAAGAAGAAGTGAGCTCGAAGTGAGCTCAGGGAAAGCAAGGGTAAAGTCCGAAGTGGACTCGGAGAGGGAGCGAGGGAAGCAAAGATCCGTTCAAGATAAGACTAGTCTCGAAATGAGACGTGAGGAACACTCAGAGAATAAAGTAGAAGGCACTTTATTTAGTCCTATTTTGAACGCTGAGGTTCGACTACACATCGCGGGGGTCAGGCTATTTATAGACAAGTCCGGACTTGGCAGCGAAGGGCGGCCAAGGGAGGGAAAAGTGGGCGATCGAGCAGGGCGAAGGGGGCGATGCACGAACGAGGGCCGAGAAGGACCACCGAGACAGGCAGAGAACCAAAGCGAGAGAGGCGCAAGCAAAAGCGAAGCACCTGGCAGGAGAAACGTGCAAAGGCGAAGCAATGTGACTCAACATCCAAGAAGCGGATTGGTCAAGTATAAGGTTGGGGCAAATGCATGCGAGATGAACAAGAGATCGGGACGGTCAGGCAGGTCATGAGTCACCGGTGGGGGGACACATGACCGGCAGCCGAATTGCAACCAATCGCAGCAAGGCGCGTGCACAAACAAACCGGCGCGTGCGAAGAAGACAAAGGAAGCGGAGCAGCGCGGGAAAACGGAAGTGCGGAATGGGCGGAAAAGACAGGCAAAGGGCGGAAAATTGGAGGGGAACTGCAAAGCTACACACAAACAAACAGAAAGGCAAAAGAACAGCCAAGTGTGCAGTCAAAGTGGAGAACAAGCAGGAGCTATCCCTAACAGAAGCTGGATTACCAGAGGATTGGACCATTCACCATCCTCGAGGCCGTCGGGACATTGGCTTTCCGCCTGTGATGATCATGCACGTTGGGAACACGTGTGGACTGCTGCGCGTGATGCACCGTGAGTCATGTTTGTTTGTCTTGGCGTGTATTCCCTGATTGGCTGGCGCCGATGACTCTTACTTCGCCTCCGACTGCGCTGTGCTTCGCCCCTCTCTCTAGCAGCTCCGCCTCCCTCGCACCCCCATCTCGTCCCTCGTTTGTCGCTCCACCCCTCTCGCCCACTTTCGCCCTTCGGTTTCCCTCTTGGCTATAAAGCCCCTCCTTTCTTGCACCCATTTTATATCTGCAGTTCGAACAACACTTGTTGTTATCTGATAAGTCGTAATATAGCTTATCGTTGTTCGCCAAGCACCTGGTCGTCCAGTGTCGTTGCTTGTCGTGGTCCTCACATATTGTTCGAACTCCCTCTCTCTGTCTGACCACCTGCTTGGCTGAGGCTTCGTTGCTGCCCTCATCCTTCTATTCTCTGTTGTCTTCTCTGCACTCTCCCCCCCGCCCCCATATCCCACATGGACCAACTCCAGGCCCAAATCGTTGCCCTCCAGGAGGAACTGGTCCTCCTCCGGACCACACACTCTTCCGCCGCCCCGCAGCTCCCCCACATGCCGACCCCGGACAAGTTCGACGGCACCAGGTCAAAGTTCCGCCCCTTCGTCAACCAGTGCCGCCTGCTCATGATGCTTCAGGCATCCAGGTTCCCGTCCGAGCAAGTCAAGGTGGGTTACGTCTTGAGTTTGCTCACTGGTCCGGCCCTCCAGTGGGCGACTCCCTTGATCGAGTCGAACGATCAAATCCTGCACTCGTTCGACTCGTTCATGGAACGCTTTCGCCAAGCGTTTGACGATCCCGACCGCACCCATACTGCCGAGCTGCTCCTTTCCTCCATGGCACAGGGCAACCGATCGTGCATGGACTACGCTTCCGAGTTCCTCCGCGTTGCCGCCGACCTTCCCTGGAACGACGAAGCCAAGATATCCGCCTTCCGCCGTGGCCTGTCGAGGGAGATCAAGCAGCGTCTCTCCTTCATCGACCCTCTCCCTCTCCGCTTGGTCCCGTTCGTCGAGCGTTGCCTCAAGATCGACGCACGCATCATCGAGCTCAACAACGAGCTCCGAAACACCGGCCCTGTTTCCTTCGGCACCCAGGCCTTCCACTCCCGCACCCCGTCCTTCCAGCCGCCCGCCCAGGAGCCTCCGGTCCTCTACTCCGAGCCGATGCAGATCGACGCCGCCGTCGTCAGCCGCCTGACCCCCGAGGAGAAGAATCGCCGCTTCCAGGAGCGCCTCTGCTTCCGTTGTGGCAAGCCCGGCCACGTCGCCAAGTCCTGCCCCCTCAAGTCCGGCTCCCGTGCTCCCGCCTCTGGTTCCCGCTTCCCTGGCTCCCGTCCTCAGGCTCCCGGCTCCCGTCCCCGTTCGAAGGTTGTCCGAACCATCGTCTACGATGATGGTGAGGAGGAACACTTCGAGTCGGGAAACGACCAGGCCCAGATCTAAGTGGAGGCTTAGATCTGGAGCCGTCCCCCCTTCCTCCAGAAGCAAGCGTCGATGGTAAGGAGCATGAGGTAAGTGTCGAACGCATGGCTATGTGTGGAATGATCAATGTAGTCGGTGGTGGATCGCACTCTGTCAATACCGCCTCTTCTAAGGGCACATCTGGCTCCCAGATGTCTTTGACAGAGCTCCCGATCTCCACACCACCTGCGAACTTGGTCATCTGCTCGAACCATGCTGCCGACACTGATCTCTGCTCCGAGCCTTCTTCGTGCGTTTCTTCGATTTCTTCGTCTTCTCCCGTTTTCTCCGCTTCTCTTGTTCTCCCTTCTGGTCGCTCCCTCTCTTGCCAACTTCTCGTCGATTCTGGTGCCTCCGGGAACTTCATCGACGAGAGCTTTGTTGACCGCTTCTCGGTCCCCCTCGTTTCCAAATCCACTCCTCTCCCTGTCCAAGGTGTCGATGGCCAGCCACTTTCTTCCGGCCCCATCACTTTTGAGACGGAACCCCTCAAGATTGTTCTTGGGGACTACACTCAACACCTTTCCTTTGATGTCATTAAGTCTCCCCACCAACCCGTTATCCTTGGCTATCCCTGGCTGCAGTCCATCGAACCCAGGCTTCACTGGGCTCGTGGACTCCTTTGCCTTCCCCGTCCTGCAAGCCACATCCTCAAGGTTGTGGATGCCTCTTCCCTCCCTTCCGTTTCTTCCGTTTCTCCTTCTCCCCTTCCTCTTGTTGGCGACACACCCAATGTTTTCCCTCGTGCCTCTACCGACACCACTGTGGTGCTCGCTTCTTCGCCTCGCACCGTTTGTACTCGCGAAGATGATCAGAATAAAGTGATCGCTCAACGTTATTCTGATTGTGTTCCGAGTGAGGTGCCCTGTTCCTGTGCTGCTCGTCCTGGTCCCTCCGGTCTCGTCTCCGTCCGTCCTGGTCTCCCCGGTCCCGTTGCTCCCAGCCCCGCTCCTGTCCGTGTCCAAGCGATCAGGTACAAGTCGTTGGAGCAGTCCGTCCTCGACACACAGTCTAGCCCCGACCCCCTGACTGTGTTCCAAGTCCTCGTCCTTCCTGCCACCGATCCGGATCCGACGCCCCTCTCGACGTCGATCCCCGAGGAGTACAAGTCGTTTGGCTCAGTCTTCTCGAAGCAGGAAGCCGACTCGTTGCCCCCGCACCGGACGTACGACTGCCCGATCGACCTGGAGCCCGGCAAGACCCCCAAGTTCGGACCACTCTACTCCCTGTCAGAGCCCGAACTCAAGGCCCTTCGTGAATACCTCGACGACAACCTCGTCAAAGGGTTCATCCGTCCTTCGTCCTCTCCCGCCGGTTCCCCGATCCTCTTCGTCAAGAAGAAGGACGGCTCTCTGCGTCTCTGCGTGTGAGGACCACGACAAGCAACGACACTGGACGACCAGGTGCTTGGCGAACAACGATAAGCTATATTACGACTTATCAGATAACAACAAGTGTTGTTCGAACTGCAGATACAAAATGGGTGCAAGAAAGGAGGGGCTTTATAGCCAAGAGGGAAACCGAAGGGCGAAAGTGGGCGAGAGGGGTGGAGCGACAAACGAGGGACGAGATGGGGGTGCGAGGGAGGCGGAGCTGCTAGAGAGAGGGGCGAAGCACAGCGCAGTCGGAGGCGAAGTAAGAGTCATCGGCGCCAGCCAATCAGGGAATACACGCCAAGACAAACAAACATGACTCACGGTGCATCACGCGCAGCAGTCCACACGTGTTCCCAACGTGCATGATCATCACATCATCCCCTCCCCAAACTACGGCCACTCCTGCGAACAATAAGTCCAGGCTTGTCGGGGTACCGGCGGTGGAAGTCGGCTATCTTGTCGGGAGCGTTAACGTAGTTGGCGGGCTCCCAGCTGCGATGATCAGTCGAGTAGCCCTTCCAATCAACGAAATAGCTCAACTTACCGCGGACCAGCTTGGAGTCGAGGATCTCCTGGACTTCATACTCCAAGTGGTCGTCGACGCGGACTGGCGGAGGAGGGTCTTGGATGCGGCCGGGGAGGGTGTTCGACTTGTGGGGCTCAAGGAGGGAGACATGGAACACCGGATGGATCTTGAGATCCTTGGGAAGGTCGAGGCGGAAGGCGAGGGAACCGATGGCTTCGACGATCTTGTAGGGTCCGATGCGCTGGTAGTCCAACTTCTTGCTTGGACGGGTGGTCTTGATGTTGCGTGTTAGGACCCAGACTTGATCGCCAGGAGCGAACTTGGGAGCGTCGGACTTGTGGGCATCCGCAAAGCGCTTGTAGTCCGCCTTGGCCTTCTCGAGGTTCTCCTTCAGCAACGCCAA